TGGCGCGATCTCGGCTCACTGCAAGCTCCGCCTCCAGGGTTCACGCCATTCTCCTGCCTCAGCCTCCCGAGTAGCTGGGACTACAGGCGCCCGCCGCCACGCCCGGCTAATTTTTTGCATTTTTAGTAGAGATGGGGTTTCATGATGTTAGTCAGGATGGTCTCAATCTCCTGACCTCGTGATCCTCCCGCCTCGGCCTCCCAAAGTGCTGGGATTACAGGTGTGAGCCACCATGCCCGGCCCAGGATCTCCTTTCTATTCTGCATGTTCTGTTCCTTTGAAGACAGTAAGGGTAACTTAGATGTTGTGACCCTTTTGTAATTGGTATTTCCCTACAAATTGGCCCAATGATCCTTAAAATGGGATCACCAGTATGACTTCCACTTTCTGGATCATAAATTTCTATTTGTGAGATTAATTTCTCTAAAACAGAGGTTCTCTAAGTAAGGTCTCAGACCAGCAGCATCAGCAATACTTGGGAACTTGGTAAAAATTCACATTCTCAGCTCCTATCCTGATCTACTGAATGAGAAACTTTGGATGTGGGGCCTGGCAATCTGTTTTTAGTAAGCCTTCTCAACCCTGGTTGCATTATTAGAATCTTAGGTGGGGTAGGGGGGAAATCACTGGGGAATTTAAAACTGTGGATGCTTAGATCTCATCCCAGTTCCATTAGAATCAATTGCAAGAGGGGTCTGGGCATTGATGTTTTTAAAGTTCCCCAGCTAATTTTAATGTGTTCCTAGGGTTGAGAACCATGGCCCTTGAACCAAATCATAACTCATCTTTTTGAAAATAGCCAGTTGTCTCCTTGCCACATGTGAGTTAAACTAGAACAGAGGTGCGTGACAACTCAGGGTTTTCAAAATAAATAGTGCCCTGCAAAGGGTACGTTACTACTGTGCAGCTGTGAAAATGAAAGAGGCATCTATGTGTATACTATTAGAGTAGCGTGCAAATTATAGAAAGTGAGGGCTCGGGTGCAGTGGCTCACACCTGTAATCTCACCACTTTGGGAGGCTGAGGTGGACGATCACTTGAGGCCAGGAGTTCAGGACCACCCCGGCCAACACAGCAAAATCCAGTCTTTACTAAAAGTACAAAAATTAGCTGGGCATGGTGGGGGCACGCCTGTAATCCCAGCTACTCAGGAGGCTGAGGCTCAAGAAACACTAGAACCCAGGAGGCGGAGGTTGCAGTGAACCTCCCTTTTTTTTTTTTTTTCCCTCAAAGAAAAAAAAAAGAAGAAAGTGAGGATAGCTGCATGCTAAATACCAGGAAAAAAAAAAAAGAGTATGGAAAGTTGCAGAACCGTGTAGTATATGATTACTTTGGGGAAGCTGGGATGGGATTTTTGTGTGTGTGTGTGTGTGTATATATATATATATATATATTTTTTTTTTTTTAAATAATATTTATTTAGGTTTTTGAGACAGAGTTTTACTCTGTCCCCCAAGCTGGAGTGCAGTGGCATAATCTCGGCTCACTGCAACCTCCACCTCCTGGGTTCAAGCACTTCTCATGCCTCAGCTTCCCCCAAGTAGCTGGGATTATAGGCGCCTGCCACCACACCTGACTAATTTTTGTATTTCTAGTAGAGACGGGGTTTTGCCATGTTGATCAGGCTGGTCTCAAACTCCTGACCTCAGGTGATCTGCCGGCTTCAGCCTCCCAAAGTGCTGGGATTACAGGCGTGAGCCACCGCGCCCAACTGCATATATCCATATATTTTTTTAATATTTTAATATTTAATTTCTTACTAAGTTTTTTTTTTTTTTTTGAGACGGAGTCTCGCTGTGTCTCCCAGGCTGGAGTGCAGTGGCGTGATCTCGGCTCACTGCAAGCTCCGCCTCCCGGGTTCACGCCATTCTCCCGCCTCAGCCTCCCAAGTAGCTGAGACTACAGGCGCCCGCCACCACGCCCGGCTAGTTTTTTGTATTTTTAGTAGAGACGGGGTTTCACCATGTTAGCCAGGATAGTCTCGATCTCCTGACCTCGTGATCCACCCGCCTCGGCCTCCCAAAGTGCTGGGATTACAGGCTTGAGCCACCGCGCCCAGCCATTCTTACTAAGTTTTTTTCTGGGCATTGGGGGAGATGGAGTCTCACTCTGTTGTCCAGGCTGGAGTCCAGCAGTGCAATCTTGGCTCACTGCAACCTTTGCCTCCTGGGTTCAAGTGATTCTCTTGCCTCAGTAGGTGGGATTACAGGTGCTTGCCACCATGCCCGGCTACTTTTTGTATTTTTAGTAGGGACAGGGTTTCACCATGTTGGCCAGGCTCGTCTCAAACTCCTGACCTCAAGTGATCCACCTGCCTTGACCTGTCAAAGTACTGGAATTACAGGCATGAGCCATCGCGCCTGGCCAAGATGTATTATCTTTATAACAATAAGTTTTTTTTTTTTTTTTTTGAGTTTCACTCTTATTGCCCAGGCTGGAGTGCAATGGCTGGCTCTCGGCTCACCGCAACCTCCACCTCTCAGATTCAAGTGATTCTCCTGCCTGAGCCTCCCAAATAGCTAGGATTACAGGCATGCACCACCATGTTGGTCAGGCTGGTCTTGAACTCCTGACCTCAGGTGATCTGCCCACCTTGGCCTCCCAAAGTACTGGGATTACAGGCGTGAGCCACCGCACCCAACCATAACCAAACATTTTAAATGAAATAATTAAACTAAGGTGTGGGAGTAGTAACATGGAATTTCCATTTGAAGGGCAGATAGAGAGGAATGGGCTTTTAAAAGTACAATTCTGAGACCCTTGGAGTGGAGCTGACGACACTCCTCAGGGTGTCAGTATTGCTTTTGTCCTGTTTCTGGCAGAGGTATGAAGGTGATTGAAAACCGGGCCTTAAAAGATGAAGAAAAGATGGAACTCCAGGAAATCCAACTCAAAGAAGCTAAGCACATTGCAGAAGAGGCAGATAGGAAGTATGAAGAGGTAAGTGACTTTCTGTTAGTCCCTCTCTTAGCCTTTTACAAAGAATAATGTGGTAAATGGCTCCTTTGCTTCACTAAGCTATACTGGGATCTTTTCCTGTAGGTGGCTCGTAAGTTGGTGATCATTGAAGGAGACTTGGAACGCACAGAGGAACGAGCTGAGCTGGCAGAGTCGTAAGTATCTAGCTCCCCAAATCTTGTCATACCAATTTGTCCCTTCCCCTTTGGCTTGGGCACTAATATGAATAAATTAGCATTCCTTCAACCTTGTTAAACAGGGCCTAGGAAATGGGAGTCATCTATAGTGCTTTTTTAGGCCCAAGGATGGTTGTAGACTTCCTTATTCTCCTGACTAGTGACAAGTGACAAAAGAGGCTTTCTTATTTTTTGTTGGTAGGTTTTACAAATTGAGAGCAAATAAGGACTAATACATGGTGAACAGTTAACTGGAAGATCCTACTGGGTCCTTCCACCTGGGGTGGAAGACATCAAAGTGGCTATCCTGATTTAAGATCTGGTGTCTGGCTGGGTGTGGTGGCTCACACCTGTAGTCCCAGCTACTTAGGATGCCAAGGCAGGAGGATTGCTTGAACCCAGGAGTTGGAGGCCAGCCTGGGCATCATAGGGAGACCCTGTCCCTAAAACAAATAAATTTAAAAAAAATAAATCTGGTGTCTGTTTTTGCCACTTTGCCAATCTGCTGGGGAACTTTAGGGCAAGGGTAGATATTAACTGCTCCCCTGTTGGTACCTTCTCGGCCTTGATTAACAAAGTCAGTGCTGATGCATATATATTTGTGCTTCCCTCTTACGTTCCCGTCTGCCAGACATAACATATCATGACCATGGTGGTGTTCTCTTCCCATTTTTTGAATTTTTTTTTTTTCGTTTTGCTGCTTGTTTTCTTGCTGTGTTCCTTTTTGACCGTTCTCCCTCCCCACAACCTGGCTTGTGCCATCCCCGTGACTATCACTAACAGCCGTTGCCGAGAGATGGATGAGCAGATTAGACTGATGGACCAGAACCTGAAGTGTCTGAGTGCTGCTGAAGAAAAGGTACTAACCATTAAACCCACAGCAAGGTTATATATATGGTGTGGTTTTGTTTTGTTTTGTTTTTTGTTTTGCAGCTGCCTCCCCTCCACTTGATTTTGTTGAGTGCTGTCTCATCTCTTCATGGAATGCTCCATTCTTTTCCACTTACTTGGCATCTTTCATCTCTTCTTTCCTAGTTGCTTTACTGCCTCTCCGCAGGGTCTCCTTCCTTTGGGTGATTTGGGGGACTGTTTGGGTTGGGCATTTGTTCCCACCTCCACCCCAGGTAGCAGTTATGACTCATTCCTGGTAGTGGATTTCTCTCAAGTGCTTTATTAGTATTCAAACATTTTGAGCCCAGGAAGGTCTAGCTCCTGACACGTTCTATGGTAGAGGGAGGAGGGTTGATGCTTGCTCAGGTTACTTGGGAACATCTCTTCCCCAGTATGCCTTCCAACTCTCTCTACATATAGGTTCAATTCACGTCTGTGTGTCTCTCTCCCTTTTTTTATTCTCTTCCTTTTCCCTTTTCCTCTCCTGTGGTATTTAAAATATTCACAGTAAGTGTTCTGAGCTGGAGGAGGAGCTGAAGAATGTCACCAACAACCTCAAGTCTCTTGAGGCTCAGGCGGAGAAGGTAGGGGCTGGTTTGTGAAAGTGACAGGCTTTGGGGCCTGGGCCCAGCCCTGCCCTTGATGAAAGACTGGAGACACCCATTCCATATATAATTCAGTGAGGCGTGTCCTTTTCCTAACTCCTTACCATGTATTCAGGTTCTGGGTTTAATGCTACTTTCTGTGCACTTTGATTGCTTTAATTAAAATAACTTCATGGTCTCAGGTTACTGGAGTCATGTGCTCCTCAGACTGATACTGCTGTGCTGAAAAGCAATAATCAGGGGTCCTAACAGGCTTTCTGGCAGACAGATGGGGGCAACAGACAGAATCAGCTCTGAGACCTAATGAGCAATCAAGACAGATGACTTCACTTTGCCATCATGTGGGTGTGTTTTAGTCATGTGACCTTGGGGTGCCACTACTCCTGCTCATTGAGCAGGGGAAAGGAAAAACACCTCCTTGGGTTGATCTGAATAATATCGAAGCTTAGATCCATCTTAAAAAGTCATGGAGAATTTTAACCTGAGGATCTCATGGCTCTAAAGACAGATTTCTGGATTTCAAGGACCTGTTTTCCAGAGCCAGGCCTTGCTCTTACTCTTGGACCATTCAGCACATTTAGTCCAAGAGGATATTCAATGTAAGAGTTAAGTGTAGGGAGGTGGGTATTGCTTGTGTGATTGATTTCTACTCTGAAATTTTTAATCTACTTATCTTACAGTACTCTCAAAAAGAAGACAAATATGAGGAAGAGATCAAGATTCTTACTGATAAACTCAAGGAGGTGAGCTGAGGGGATTATAGGGCAGGACCCAAAACATTTAGAGGTATATAAGACATTAATGTGGACTTAGACTGGCTGGTTTGGGTTCTGAAAGGTCCAGAAGTAGAAGGTGGAAGAAATAGAGATTGTTCTTCTTTGTCTTCATCTCTGATTCTGACTAATTTCATATTTCCCCCAGGCAGAGACCCGTGCTGAGTTTGCTGAGAGATCGGTAGCCAAGCTGGAAAAGACAATTGATGACTTGGAAGGTATGGAACCTTGAGTAGGGATTGAAATAGAGAAATGTAGAGGAAGACCTTGCCCATTAACTATTAATCTCTTTTTCTGTATACCAAAGGAAGTTGGTATGACTTGGCATGTATTAATACGTGCACTGTCCTATGCCACAGCTAGGCAAAGTGGGTCAAACCCTAGAATTGGTTTTTCAAATGTAATCTTTTCCTTTAAGAAGACTTCACCAAATAGTCTGCAATTTGTACCCTTCCCTTTGAGGAGAATGATAATGGCTGCATTAATCTCCAATTTAGTAGTCTTAAACCTTTAGTCTGTGGGTTTAAACGGAAGCCATGATTTCAGAAGGGCAAGGTGCAGGTCATTTCATGGCTACTTTCCACAGTTCTTTTCACCACTCAAGTTGTGGGGTATTTATCCAAGAAATGAAGTTGTGGAGTAACCACATCTGAACACTGACCACTGTCAGGAGCTTTCTAAATACTTTCTGTCCCTGTAAGTTGGTAACTGCCATCCACGCTGACAAGGGGACGTACTCTTTGCTTTGAGAACTCTGATGTATGCTCCTTTGGTATGCTCTCTTGCCAGAGTTGCAGGGGCAACCTGTGAAGCAGAGGGGCCACTAATAGGGCTCACATTTTATAGGTAGAGAAGTGTCTGAATATGGATGTATACTATTTCCCTTTGTTATTTTTGTTCAATTAAGTGTTACCACTGCTAGGAATTGGGTACCTGAATGGGAGTGGTATCCTCTTGAGTGCTTTTGGTAATAGGAATTTCTAGTTATGACTGTGCCCAGGTTCTCAGCCCTTGCTGCAGTCGATTAGGAGTATCAAGAAAGGCAGTTGGTCATAGGAGAGAGTAGATCTGAAAATGTCCAGTCATGGTTGCCAGAGTAGATGTTTTCCTAACTGTGGTATTAGACCCACAGTCACACTTTCCTAATTTCTAATGATTCCCTCTCTTCATCTGCTTCTGAAACCTTTCACTCTGTCCCCTCATTCCTCCCTGTGGTTCCTGTGCCTGTCCAGATGAGCTCTATGCCCAGAAACTGAAGTACAAGGCCATTAGCGAGGAACTGGACCACGCCCTCAATGACATGACCTCTATGTAACTATCTGACAGCAGAGTGGGGCTGGGATCTTGGCTTGTGGGTGGATGGGGGTACAAGCTATGCATAGTGGTGTGCTTTGGTTTTATCCTTTGGAAACTATAATCTCCACCCTTATCTTTGAAACATTGGTGCTGGTTATTTGTTTGGCAAAAGCTCTGGTTATTTGTCATGGCCGGGGGTGGTGGCTCACGCCTGTAATCCCAGCACTTCGGGAGGCTCAGGCGGGTGGATCACTAAAGGTCAGGAGTTGGAGACCATCCTGGCCAATATGGTGAAACCCCGTCTCTACTAAAAATATAAAAATTAGCCAGGCGTGGTGCAGTGCGCCTGTAATCCCAGCTACTCAGGAGGCTGAGCCAGGAGAATTGCTTGAACCTGGGAGGCAGAGGTTGTAGTGAGCCAAGATCGTGCCACTGCACTCCAGCCTGGGCAACAGAATGAGACCCCATCTCAAAAAAAACAAAAACAAAAACAAAAAAAACATTAAAGGCCGGGCATAGTGGCTCAAACCTGTAATCCCAACACTTTGGGAGGCCGAGGTGGGCTGATGACTTGAGGCCAGGAGTTCAAGACCAGCCTGACCAACATGGCGAAACCCTGTCTCTACTAAAAAATATTTTAAAAGTTAGCCAGCATGGTGGCGCACGTCTATAATCCCAGCTACTCGGGAGGCTAAGGCAGGAGACTCGCTTGAAACCAGGAGATGGAGATTGCAGTGAGCCGAGATGATGCCAGTGCAGTCCAGTCTGGGTTAAAGAGTGAGACTGTCTAAGAAAAAAAAGCTCTGGAGGCAGTTAATCTTGGATCAGAAGGAGAACCCTGACTGACTTGTAATTTTTATGTTTTGTATTCATAGTTTCTTCATTATGCTGGGATTTTTCTATTTGCTTCTCAAATTTAGTCTTCTCAGAAGGAATACTGCTAGAGGTAGAATCCATACAACTAAGGAAATAGGGCCCACAGAGCCAGGGACTTGGGCCCTGACACATTAAAATAAAATTCAGGCCTCCTGGGTGTGTTTAATTGGTTCCCCGATATTAAAGTTCAGGGAGCTACCCAAGATGGGAAATACCAAATTCACCTAAGAATTGAGCTGGGTCCCAGAAGCAAGCCAAGTGATAAACAGCACCAAAACGAGTTGTTGGGACTTCATCTGTTTGCTGTGGATCCCTGATCCTTGATGCTAATCTGCCTCTTTGTATCTTTCCCACTAACCCTGAAAAGAAGCCACGTTTCTCAGGCTGAAGTGTCTGGCTGTCTTTTATTATTCCTGCTGCCACCTATTCCTTTTTTTCCTCTTCCTTTCTCCCAATTTGCTATCTAGATTGATGCTAGTCCTTCTCACCTAGAGTATCCTTACTTTTTCATGCAGATAATTATCACCGTTTCTGCTCTGTTCTGGATCTGCCCCCTTTACTCCTCGGGGAACCCAACGCCCCACTCTCGCTCTGGATTCCATTTGGGTCAGCCTGGCTGGTCCCCAAGGCATTAGGATGGGGGGACACAAAGCAACTTATGTATTTTCTTCCACCCCCACCCCAGATTAAAATGTTAAGCTGCTGGAAACCTCATGCCACCCTGCATTTGTGTCATTGACAAAGCTGCTGCTGTCCCTAAGAAGGAGCCTTGGGCGTGTGATGTGGGGAAGAGCTATCGTAGGCTCCCCCTCCTCTGACTTACATAATCAAAGCCACTTTTGTGTGTGTCTATTTTTTCTTGACATTTAAACTCAGCTGATCTGATTCTACCAGAGTGATGGATTTAGTACAGGTTCCTCAGGATAGTAATTTTAGTTACATGCCTCAAGCTGAACAAGATTAAATTCCTTATTTCTAGGTTCTTAAATCATCCTGTCTGCAGTGTTTCCATTCTCTCTTCAGGTCTTCCTCCTTTGGTGTGGTGTCATTGAGAAGCCATTGAGGTGACTCTCAATACACATTCTGTACCCTTTTACTTGTGATTCAAATGGTGCATCCTCAGAACACCCAGTGAACCCAATATATTATTGCTAAGATTGACTAATTATGTCAACCCCAGTCACAGAAGAATACACAAAGGATAGAATTCTCGACAGTTTTACTTTTCCTTCTTTAAACCTTTCTTACATATTTGAGACTTGCTACCATTTGTCTGCTAGTGTGTGACTAGTGGGATATAAGACAAGTGATAAATTATTATTGGGAAAACTAAAATGGCCAATCATGCATATTTCAAATAATGTGCATATGAGGCCAATGATTTATTACGTACATAAATTTCTGCTAGTAAAATTTCCCTTGGTTCATATTGTGGAATTAAATATCAACATTTTAGAAATTCCCATTACAGGCTGGGCGCTGTAGCTTGCGCCTGTAATCTCAGCACTTTGGGAGACTGGGGCGGGTGGATCACCTGAGGTCATGAGTTCGAGACCAGCCTGGCCAACATGGTGAAACCCCATCTCTACTAAAAATACAAAAATTATCTGGGTTTGGTGGTGGGTGCCTGTAATTCCAGCTACTCCGGAGGCTGAGGTAGTAGAATCGCTTGCACCTGGGAGGGGAGGTTGCAGTGAGCCAAGATCGTGCCACTGCATTCCAGCCTGGGCGACAGAGTGAGACTCCATCTCAAAAAAAAGGAATTCCCATTCCAATTTACACAGCAGAGATTTCTTAATAGTATAGTGAATTATATTAATCCAAGCACCTAAGTGTTGTTCACTTAGTACTTTAGTTTCCCAGCAGGGTATGTATTTAAAATTTGCTTTTCTTTTAGCTGGGTGCAATGGCATGTGCCTGTAGTACCTGTAGCTACTTGGGAGACTGAGGCAGGAGGATTGCTTGAGCCCAGGAGTTCTGCACTGTAGTGTGCTATGCAGGTCAGGTGTCCTTACTAAATTTGGCATCACTATGGTGACCTCCTGGGAGTGGAGAACAACAAGGTTGCCTAAGAAGGGGTGAACTGGCCCAGGTCAGAAATGGAGCAGGTCAAAATTCCTGTGCTGATCAGTAGTGGGACTGCACCTGTAAATAGCCACTGTAGTACTCCAGCCCGGACAACACAGCGAGATTCCATCTGTTAAAATTACTTTTGCTCTTCTTTTAAACAGATATAATCAGGCAGGGAAGTTTTCCTTAATCTAAAACTTTAAGTCTCATATCAAATTCAGGTTTCTTTTTGTGCATTCCATTTCTTACTGCTGCATAGCCTTTGAGATTAAGGTTCAGATTTCATTTATTCAGCTGACACTTCCTGGTATCTTCTAGGTATAGGATATTAAGATGGAGATAGAAATAAAGATGGAGGCACCATTCCTACTCTCAAGTTGCTTAGAATCTACTAGGAGAGAGAACATACATAAAGCTACAGATACTGTGTGATGAGTGCCACAAATAATAGTGTTATGGGAGTTGAGTAGAGGGGAAGAGATTGATCCTAGTGGGGATGAATTAGAAAAACTCATGGAAGAAGGCATGTAATAGGTATTTCATAAACATGTTAAAACTTTTTTTTTTGTTTTTATTTTTTTTTTGGAGATGGAGTTTGAGTCTTGTCACCTAGGCTGGAGTTCAGTGGCATGATCTCAGCTCACTGCAACCTCTGCCTCCCGGGTTCAAGCAGTTCTCCCACCTCAGCCTCCCGAGTAGCTGGGATTATAAGCACCTGTCACCACACCCAGCTAATTTTTGTATTATTAGTAGAGGTGAGGTTTCACCATGTTGGCCAGGCTGGTCTCAAACTCCTGACCTCAAGTGATCCACCCACTTCAGCCTCCCAAAGTGCTGGAATTACAGGTGTGAGCCACTGCGCCCGACCAACATGTTAAACTTGCATATTCATTTTTATTGGGTTCCAAAAGTGGATTTTTGATTAGCAGAGTTGGGTCATGTGTTAGTGAATATTGAGCATTCCATTTATTTATTTATTTATGTTTCTCTTTTTAAGATGGAGTCTCGCTCTGTCACCCAGGCTGGTTGGAGTGCAGTGGTGAGATCTTGGCTCACTGCAACCTCCGCCTCCTGAGTTCAAGCGATTCTCCTGCCTCAGCTTCCCGAGTAGCTGTGATTACAGGTACCCGCCACCATGCCCAGCTGATTTTTGTATTTTTAGTAAGGATGGGGTTTCAGCATGTTGGCCAGGCTGGTTGCGAACTCCTGACCTCAAGTGATCTGCCCGCCTCAGCCTCCCAAAGTGTTGGGATTACAGGCATGAGCCACTGCACCTGGCCTGAGCATTCCATTTAAAGAGAAACAAAATAATAAAGGCATTGATAGAGATGAGAAGGCCACAATAGCTATAAAGTTAGATGTAGACAGAGTAGGGGACAGGGTTGTGTGTTAAAATCAGGCTGAGGAGTTATCATTTTACTTGGGAGGTAATGGGGATGCCACTGGAGATTTTGAACAGGAATATGCTGTGATCCGAATAGCATATAAGAAGAGTTAATTTGGTAATGAATTTGCAGATTAGCAAAGTGATTCACTAACATTGTGTTTCCCACATTTCAGCCATTAACGTTACCATTTTTGATGGCTTTTTCCATATCCACTGCTGCCTACGTTGAGTAGATCAGATCTACTCATTTCCAAATTTATTTTATTCTTTTTTTTTTGAGACGGAGTCGCTCTGTCTCCCAGGCTGGAGTGCAGTGGCGCGATCTCGGCTCACTGCAAGCTCCGCCTCCTGGGTTCATGGCATTCTCCTGCCTCAGCCTCCCGAGTAGCTGGGACTACAGGCACCCGCCACCTCGCCCGGCTAGTTTTTTTTTTTTTTGTGGTATTTTTTAGTAGACATGGGGTTTCACCATGTTAGCCAGGATGGTCTCGATCTCCTGACCTCGTGATCCGCCCGTCTCGGCCTCCCAAAGTGCTGGGATTACAGGCTTGAGCCACTGAGCCAGGCATTTTATTCTTACTTGACACAATTCTATTTTAAAATCAAAGGTTTGATATGTTAGTGTTTCTTCCTAATCACATTAAAGTGACTATAGCAGTGAATGTACCACACTTTGGAAAAA